CAGCCACTGGGACCTGTTGTTTAGTTTCTTCCGTGAAATTGGACAGTGGTTTCTGAGAAGAGTATGCAAGAACTCCCTAAGGTATTCCCAATCATCGACTACATTGCCGGAAAAAGCCTATTCCCAATTAATCTTGCGCAATTCGGCCTTCATTTGATCGTAGTTACCACGCCAAATGTTCCTTCTAAACCTGGTGGGCTGTTCAGGTACCGAGAATATTGAATAGTCCCAATGAAATACGACCTGATCAATTCGACCTAGTGGAGGTAGAGATTGCACCTCGTCGGTGCTGTCCAGCGATTTTGTGAGTACCAGGTCTAGACAGTTCGATTGCTGCCCCTCACGCACCCTGATGGGAAATCGAACGTGTTGAATGAGGGATGAACTCAGTGTCAGGGCTAGTAAACACCGGTCGAATGCTTGCTCTGGACCACGTGCGTATGTTGAACTCCAGTCGATGAGCGGAACATTAAAGTCACCCGTAATCAAGACGTCAGGCCGAGTAGTTAATCGCGCTCACTGATCTAGCAGGCCAGCGTCAGCCTCAGGATCACTTCTAGGTGGTCGGTAAACAGTCAAAACTTATAGACTGGGTGATTCCAGTACCTTTATAGTAAACCAAAGAGCCTCGGTACTGCAAGCAAGCCGTTCCGTTTATCCTGGGACTAGTAGTCCATGCTTCACGTAAGTTATAAGGCCTCCTCATTGACGCCCTCTCCTAACTTTTCGAAACAAATTAAATCCGGGTAGTGCCACTTTGTGGTCATCCACGTTTTCAGACAACCAGGTCTCTGTTACAGATATAATGTCGGGGAAGAATTGGATATCTGCACTTTCAATTCATCTAACTTGGACAGTAGACTCTGTGCGTTGGTGTAGATAAACTTCAGCGTCATATTCTTTGCGGCTTTAGTTACGGTCCACTTTGAACCACGGTATAAGGAACCAGTTGCTCCTTCATTCGAATTGGTTCTGTCCAATGAATACGAGGAGGACGGTGCACTATCTGGTCGTTGTAGATCATCAATTTTGTCTCCCCATTCTCTAATCTCAATCTCATTTCGAGAACTAACTGTCGGCGTTTTTTCCTCTCCGTCAGTGTATAGGCTGTTTGAATAATAGACTCCGCAATTGTTATCCTTGATTCTGAAACGTCGTGCGAGAATGAGCTTGACTTGTTCCTCACTATGTAACACTACTTTTAGTGGTCGGGGACGTATACGTTCTGAAATGTCATTTGGGCGCCTTCCAAGCCTAAAGTGCTTTCGCACATCTACCACCTCGGTGGGCCGCAGGAGCTTGTTGGGGAGACATTGGTAGAGCCTATGGTCTGCCAAATTCCGATCAATGAAAGTCTTGGCCTCAGATTCTGGAAGTCCGTGTATTATCAGATTTTGCGATCGGTCGGGCGAACCTCTCGATGTTACCGGAATATCGTAGCC